CCCTCTCTCTTCCCCCTATCACTACCCCCTCTCTCTTCCCCCTATCACTACCCCCTCTCTCTCCCCCTATCACTACCCCCTCTCTCTCCCCCTATCACTACCCCTCTCTCTCCCCCTATCACTACCCCCTCTCTCTCCCTGTCTCTGCCCCTCCTCTCTCCCCCCTTTCACGCTGCCCCGCGGCACCTATCCCACTCCTACTGACACTTTGGGCTGCGCCCATTTCAGACCTTTATAAACAGTCGCAGTTGGAGGCTCGCCCCCCTTTTCTCTATTTTTTTTTTACGATCAGAGGAAATTAGAAGATGCTCGGGGTAGTCGGCACTTTGCTTGGTTCATCATTTAGTTTTGTTGTTTTGTTTTTCAATACTTTGCTTTATATGTCCCCCCCCCCCGCTTTTTTAAATGAAAGATTTCACAAAAGACTTCACGCTCTTCTCTCCCCCTTCTTACTCCTTCCCTCTCTCTCTCTGCCCCCTCTCTCTCTACCCCCTCTCTCCCTACTCTGTGTCTATGTCCCCCCTGTTTTCTATGTAATATTTGTATATTTTTTGCGACTCCGCCTGATGACGACCGCTTGTGTTGCAATCGAAACGTCGTGAGTTTTTGGTTTTTTTATGTAAAAAAAATGTTTTATTTTTTATTTTCTATCTACGTGACTTTACCGAAAGAACCAAAGAATATGTTGAATTAGTTATTTACACGCCGGCTGTTAACCGTGCATCTGAGCAATTTAGTAGCGAATAACAAAGCTGTGTATGAAAATTATGATTTTTATTGGTACATTTTTTTTCCACCCTGCCTCTGAATTATTTTAAACGAGTTGTAACTTACATTTATTGTGAGTATTACATTATTTTCCAATCCAGTTTGTGTTTATTCGTATCTTGTGTTCTTTAACATTGGAATTTCAATTGCAATGTGCATTGTGCATCATTCTCATGCTATACCGCTGCATATGAATACAGACACAGCCATACATACCCTGTTTTCCATAGGTGTTGTATTGTGATGCAATGGGTGATAATGTCATTCAGAATTCTGACATTGCATGTTATTTTATAGAAAATTTAATAGTCATATTTCTATTTCATATGGGGGGGGGAGCTAAAAGTGATGTGAGTCTGTGTGTGCGTGTGACCGTGTATAATCCTGTGCCACTTATGTGTTGTAAAAAGTAGGAGTCAGCACTTCATACGATGTACTGCAAGTGGGGAGCATATTGTCCTACACGTGTAGGACAATATGCAAGTACACATCACCCTACCACTGGCGATTTACCAGTTCACTTTTCTGCGGTGTGTCCAGTTACCGCTGGATGGACGGAAAAAAATATTACATGCAAAAGCTCAACCAAGCGTTCACTGGGCTAGACTCATGTATATCTTCATTTATGGGCCATGTAACCAATAAAATTGCATTACGGGATAGACAAACCAATTGGGTGTTAACCCTGCTATGTTTGACTGACTTTGGATCTGATTATGTGGAATTAGGCGGAAATGTCACTCCAGAGACTGCGCGCGGATGCAGTCTCTTCACATAGAGGCGAAGGGCGTGAAATGTAAAGGTATCCTGGGCTGATTATGTGAGGTCGGGAAAATTACGTTTTGGGATAAATACGATGAAGGGGAAGAAGGAGCTGTAAGGTTATGGCTGGGTTGTTCGAAGCCCTGGTTGGAAAGGATACGGAAGGTAGCGAACGGCCGGTAATGAAACCATAAGCTCTGCTGATGGACGCTTAATATGCACACTTGGAAATACCTGGACAGAAATTGAACAAAACGGTACTTGATCCTTCTCGGTGTCGCTCTATGAGAACATTCTGAACGTAATCCAGTCCAACGGGGAGTGGCTAACCCTGCACAACGTGCTGCTGCAATACATGGCTGTCTGGTCTCTGCTTCTTACATATAGAGCACTTGCAGCGTCCTGCACACGGCAGTGTTCCACGGAAGGGATATATCAACATTCCAACCGCAGAGTGGCAACGTGATGGCAGTGGTTTTTCAATTGCCTATTTCAACAATTTATATAATTGAGGTTAACGCCCTTGACTAAGAGCACAGATTGGACACTTGCTCATACGAGAGAACGCGCGTAATTTTTAGTGTTTTTTTTTGTTAAGATAAATTGGTAAAATGTCCCCCGATCAGTATGCACACATGTGAGTGTGTACATGTTAAATACCACATCCTTTGATTTATAACGTGGATAATTCAAATATGCGGTTAAATGCATAGTGTGGCCTAATCTGATGAGTAGTTTTGCACGAAATATGGAATGTTATATTAGGGTGCCACTCAATATGCAGCATATGGCAAAGTGAAGCTTCAATTTTCTGGGATCGCACCCTCCACTGAATGCAAAAGTCAACAGCTGAGAATGTTCTTCAAAGCTGCTTATGTTTACGGGGTCTCTCTCTGCGCCGGTGCCTCTGCTATGACTCTACATATATTGACTGTCAAGCATTTTTCCATCTTCGTTGAACAAGCGGTAAATATTGAGGGATTTTCTTTCAACTCACAGTGCTTCACTTTAACAGGCAAATTAATAAAACCAGGAGGCACAATCGTGAGAATAACAAACTCACATTTCAAGTGGCACACTAAAACGTGTGCATATGTTTACCGCACAATATGTTTCACACATCAGAGCCAGTATACTTACTGGCAGTTATGGAAGGTGGATTGACATCAACAAAAATTAAGGGGAAGGTCGGGTGTGGAGGTTTTTTGGAATAAAAAAACCTAATAATCAAAATCAACATCCTAAACAAGAACGTTTACACCAGTCTACATTGCCTGAGAAATCGATCAGGAACATTGACACCCACAAGGAAAGTAAATAAACAATAACTAAGAGTGCACAAAGAAGCAGAGAGACACATGCTGGAATTTTAGTTCATGGAGACACAGGAAAAGGAACACGTGGGTTAGAGTAAAAATACAATTTAGAGACGTAATTTTGACTTATGAAAAGTAAGTGGGCTCAGGTAGGCCAAATCATCAGAAGAGGTGATGGCCAGTGGTTAAGACTAATCATGGAATGGCAGGCAAATGAGGGAACATACCGGGGAGGATGTCCATTGCAGACAGAGATGGAGTGATACAATGACTTCAGGTGTGCAGGGGTTGTTCGGATTGTTGCCTCTCGGGATCACGAGATACGATGACAGCTTGGGAAGGCCTTCATCCAGCAGTGGATAGATCGTGGCTGGTGATGGTGGTGGTGATGATGTTTCACTAAACTATCACTTCAAGGTCTCTAATATTTTAAGTGCACAGGTTTAAGAGAACATTACTTATAGTATTAATTATTAAAGTATTAATCTGGTGGCTGAATATCTCAGTGATCAGCATGCTCGCTACTGGGCCAAAGTCAATGGTTTAACTCCCACAGCCACAAAAAAAATACCTGATCAAGCTGTTTTTTGTACTTTATTATAGGTTCTGTGACAGCATCTATTGCAAGCATAGGCAATTCTATATAATTGTGCCCAAAATAAGTTGAAAAATGATTATTGTGTTCTATACAGTAATTACTTTAACCTGGATTCCCATCCAAGCGTGATAGTGAATCTGACTTTCAGTTGGTAAGAGATGGGACAACAAGGAATCAATTTCTGAAAGCAGCTTAGTGGCTTATTGGTACTCTTTGGTTCTTTCGGTAAAGTCACGTAAGTAAAGTAAAATAAATAAATAAAGTTGATCAAATCACGACGTTTCGGAGGCAACACAAGCTCCCGTCATAAGGTGTAACTAGCACAGCAAAATGACTGTAAAGAGAGCTATTTGTAATAAGAGATTATTATAATAGGGTAAGAGGAGGGGGGGGGGGACAATGACCCAGCACGGTCAAAATCCCGGGTTTAAACTATGCCACTCCACCTCCCCAACATTCCCACCACAATCCTCCCACCCCTTCCAAATTAGAAGTTTTCATGGATGGCGTTTGATGGTGACACTTCCGTCACCAATTAATGCACAACAGAGCTTATTAAGCCGACTGCTTTTGAATTTAACCACTCTCTGATCTGCATATCTAAATTGCTACCGAGGTGGTGGGGATTGTAATGATGAAGATGATAATATTATTTATAGTAGAGTCTGTCAGTGTGTACATGAAATATATCAACATGTATGTACCTAAGTAATATTGTCAAATACTCTTTACATTCTATGGGCATAAAAAAAATCCGAATGAGTGAAACCCAGACATATTCCTCAGTCAGTCTCGGTCTATCAGAACCGTGCACTATATTGTAATTAAGTTCAACACAATGCCACCAGATCTCAGTACGAGTCAATTACGCCACCTGAACACAGATACGAAACCCGGGCAGGTGGCAACCCAAGCACAATCTGTTCCATTCCAGAAGCATCCAATCGTTTTTGAAAAGTTAAGTGCGCAATTGCATTGTTATTCGCCTGCCCATTTTTGCATTCCAAATAGAAAACTGATTAATTAACCGAACGCTTAGGATGTTTGTGAAAATGTACGATGCTTCTTGGTTATGTGGCATGCTGTAATTATACGAGGATGCGGGGAATTACCACAGTACAAACTGCCGACTCTCTGCTATTGAGTTTCTCCGCATGAAGTCAATACCATTGGGCTTGGTTTTACACGGAGATGCAAGGAGCACCCCCAGAGACTGTCTATCATGTTTACATGCATATAAATGCTGTGTAGATGTTTCCTTCGGAAGATACATGGCTACACGATATGGCATTTTCCGAACACACACTGCACCACTTCGTGTACACCGAGACAATGCCACATGAATAGTTAAACAATATGTAAGAGTTATGTTCGTATTTTGGTCGTGCCAATATCATTTAAAAAGATATACATTTTTGGTCATAAATCAGTATGTTAAATGATTCATACACAGCGGTGGTCTTTGTAGGAAAAGAATTTTGGACATTAAGATAGAAAATATTTTAAATGCATAATGAACACAATTATATAATGGAAATCTAAAACCCTGGAGCTAAAAAAAATCTATCCCGCAGTGCAGATATTTATATATTTTGCTTTAAATGCTGTATCGCCGCTTGTGACAGTTCGTCAGGGTTGTGCCATCTGCCTGCTCAAATCCCTTCCCCTAAAATGTCCCATCGTGAGACTATATCTGTGCAGTGCGCTCGAGTGTAGCAGTTAGGCAGAGCTACCAGAATCCTAAGCACCGTGATCAATCGTATATCTGGGACGGGCGAGCGCGTGCATTCCGAGCGCCGTAGCCAAGTGTGTGGGCTGTATAATAGTCCACAGCCACGGAATACGTCCCTACCCAGGCATTTATGTGTTTCTGCCCTCGATACATAATGTTTGGACCCAAGACGCACCATTGCTGTTGCTGCAGTCACACCACGGCTGTCGCAGGTGCACATGCACCCACGTGCGAATTCTGCATGGATTGCGCCACCACACGCATCACGGTGAGTTTGCCAATGGCAGGGCTGTTCCTGCTATACGTCTTATCTGCCGCACACACCACTGCCCACAATCTATAAATATATGATGCATCATTTATAAATGATTTCCAAAGTACTTCTTGTGGTATGTATTGCAATTGACCATGCGTGCGCGTGTGAGTGGGAGTGAGGGCATTGGCCATCTCGCGTGACCAAATAAAGACATTCCATTGCACATAATGTATTCATAGAGCAAATAATTTTTCTTTTTATTCCATGAATTCTACAATACCTTGGTGTCCAATTGGCCTAAATTGTCTGTTGTGTGTTTGTGTGCTATTGTCTTGGCCGTATAGATTTTTGTAATGGGGCTCACCGTTCGTGCCGACATACGAGCTTTATTTTGTTTGCGTGCTGTAGCTAAGGCCAACTGCCCAGGGGGAGTAAACAGTTCGGTAGGATTGGGGCCAGTGGGGCCTGGCCAGTTTTCTAAACAAAAAAAATCACAAAAGCTGAATGTGGCTGATGCTCCCACCACCACAATCAATTTTCTGCTGGCTCCCTTAGGTGGACAGTGGGTGGGATAAACTGGAGAATTTCTCCACAAATCTGGCTGTCGGCTGATGACGCTAGTTGTAATGACTGGCGAAACTTCATAACTCTTATTGCGAATGTTGTGGATTTGCTCTCCAACACACCGGTGTGCTGTACTTGTAACGAATTGGCATATTCTGTTTACGTGACAAAACTTACTCATTTGCTGTCGGGTGGTGTCAGGTTTAACGACACATATTCATGCGATCTAACCCCAAAACAACTTTATATTATGGATGATATTTGTCGCGAAGGCCTGCTACGTGTTAAACTGCGATAAACTGTGTTTGTCCCTACATCTCCCAAAAGACCCAAGGAAACAGTCTGGGTGACCTTTTGCTACGATTTGCCCAAGGCCAAGGGACATTTTCCAGATCAGGATAAATGAACGCCTGAAGTTTAATAGAATTAAATATCCAGGTTTCAATAAACTTCGATTATTTTTTTTGTGACGTGCAAAGAATGCTAAAGCAGTCATATTATACATCATATTACTTTTTCAGGGGTATGTAACAGATGAGTTTCACTTATAAACATGACATGTGCAGTATTTCTGGGGTAATTATTAAAATGTATCATGGATGGTGAACCAATCATCGTCTCACATTCAGGACTTTAAAAAGCATTAACAGCGGCCTCTGCCCAGTCTGAGCCAAATTGTAATGTTTTACCTGGGGAGGAAAAATCCTTTGAAAATTTAACTTTTTCGTAGGAAGAAATCTGTGAAGTACAACCTGCCTATGCAAAAAGAGGGATATGTTTTTTCTTTTTCTTTTCAAACAGATTATCATAAATTTTAAAACTCTTTAGACTGACAGTGATGATCAGTGAAATATATCTTCAAGAAAAACTCCTCGTATTTCTGAAATTTTATCATCATATCACGAGAATGAGTGCACTCTGCTACCATTTATCAGAGGTGCAGCAGGGAGATGGGAGAGCCCAAGTGAGATGTGATATGAGGCTCTTTGCGCTAGGCCTCAATCACTTTGGAGCATAGTTTTAAGGTGGTATCTGAAAAACATTAAAATATGATAACCTCAAAAAATTCCCAATTTTCAGGAGACCTTTTTTGGTGATGGTAATGGCGGGGAAGAATTAGGAAGGCAGAACAACTTGTTTGGATTTGTCATCCAGAAAATGTAATCGTAGTCTCATGTTAGTTATGACCTTACCTGTTTGAGATGACATTTCAGTACTACACACATCCACGGGTGCTGAGTGCATAAGCCATTTCCACATCCTCTTTAGAGCACATATAGCCCTTCATGCTGTCGGAAAAGCCCAATGCTTACGCAGCCTTTTATTATTTTCTAGTGCTCTGTTTACCGATTAATATCATGCTGCAGATGCAGTTGGAAGTAAAGCAAAGGCTAAGCGTTTGCAGAGATCAATGCTGGATAGAAAAAGTTGGCAATGCGAGTGCCATTTGTGTCAAGAAGGTTTTTAGCTGATTAATGATCTCAGTTTGGTTGTAGGTGCATACTTTTATAATTCTCAGAGTATGTGTGGTTCGCAACAATGTACTGTTATTATGGACAGGAAGTGTCATATATTATCCCATTTTCTTCTTCATGAATTTTTACTTATTTATGTCAAGTATTTGTTTGGCTCTTTTTATGTTATTCACCATTAAGAAAGCTATTGGAGAAAAAAACATGATATTACTCTCCATGTTCGCAATTTTTAAGGGCCATGTGTATGACAGAAGGCAGACTTTTGTTAAACATAGGTATGTATGATTTGGCCATATTTCTATTGTTTTCATAGCATCATCGTTTCCTGTACTTACGTCACATGTGTATGCATTATAACATGCAGTATATATTTTATTTAACATCGATGTATGTTTGTAACATCAATTCCTCGTGTGATAGTGTTTTTGTTATGATTTCTTTACTTCGTTGCTTTACATTATTTTATTTTGATTTTTGTAAATTTGGTGACCTCGGTCCCTCGTGAAAGTTAGACTATTCTGGCCTCTTAAGTTCTCACTTGGTTAAACAAAATAAACTTCAAACGATGTATTATACGACAAATCAACCCAAGACCAATCTTTAGAATCCCAAACTAAACTGAAATCGGCAAACTGGCAATGCCTCTGCACATCAATAAAGTAGTACAATCCCACATACAGTAGCACATTAATGCAATTACAGTAGAGCATTAGTTATGAAAACATGTAACCATTTATAACATATCATTTATCTTGACAGCTATAATAGTGTTAACGCAGTATTTTTTACATATTTCCTCCTTTACACCAGTCTAGACACAAAAGACTTCACAGCTACCACATGCTCTTTGGTTCTTTCGGTAAAGTCACGTAGAAAAAAAATAATAATAGCATACGACGTTTCGATTGCAACACAAGCAATCATCATCAGGTACAAATGAAAGAGAAAACAAACCTCGTAAACTTAGAAATATAATGCAATACAACACAGAGAGTCGGCTAACATAACAGTCAACACCCTACCTGGTTGATTACGTTCTTCCAAAGATTGCTCAATTTGATGATGATTGCTTGTGTTGCAATCGAAACGTCGTATGCTATTATTTAATTGATTTTTTTTTATTTCTACGTGACTTTACCGAAAGAACCAAAGAGTAATTCATGCAGTCACGAAAGCTCCAAATCAAACCACCACATAATTACATGCACAAATACTTGTAACGATTTGACACAACACACATTAGGCTGACAATGTGCATTTCTAATTAAAACTGCTGGATAAAAGATGTTTTTAAATTGATGTGTTTGGAAAAGCGTAGGTGTGGTTTGTACCGAAAACATGCATAGCCCCTTTGGATCTAACCCCCTCAGCGGCTGGCCTGGTTGCGTGACCTCTAAGGTATAGGCGCCCTGCGAATGCGCCTTCAATATCTTTTCAGCGTGAAGATGACACAAATATGGGAGAATCGAGCCATCAGCCCCATGACTATAATTGCAAATTAGGCTGAAGAGTCTCTGAGAGAAGACCGATGCGGGGTTATTTCATAATACATTTCCTTTTTTATATTTCTGAAAGTTCACGACAAAAAGCTGCATATTATAGTCCACCTACAGCTAAAATTAATCGACCTTCGACGTTATATAAATGCGTAACAGTTGCCAATAAATGTATTAAATACAATCATATGGGTTTATTTTCCAATTTATTGAAGTATGTTTTATTGTAACGTTTGTTTATATAACGATCTCACTCACTTCGTATCCGCGAACTCTATCGATGTTTTGACAGCTATCTATACACCATGATATATTTTTATATTTTCCACTCAACTGCATTATAAATCTGCTCCATAAATTTATAAACATGTAAACGTCATTCAAAAGAACGGAAGGACTTCAACGTATGAAAATGCAATCACGTTGCCTCTGCAGAGGCATCCTTAGGGTTTCCAGGGCACAGGAAGATGTGTATGGTTGGGCATTGACCCATCTTTAACAATGAATGGCAGCTGCATGGGTGGTGATGTGACTCAAAACTATAAATCAAGATGGTGACTCTCTCACATTCGTGATGCTGATAACGTGAAAATAAAAATCTAAATCAGGATTCAAAGTTTTTGTTGTTGTAAAATGCAGTATCACATTCAAGTCATGCATTTATGTTGTTAAATTTTGTATTAAAAAAAACAGATATCATTTGAACATATAAAGCTTCTCAATAAGACTGCATCTCAATATGATTATCGCAGTTGGCTTTGCACGGTACAAAATAAGTTCAACATACATGCTGATTGAGTGCGAGTCCCATGCCATGCTGGGCCCAGGTTTCATATCAGGATGTGGGATTTGTGTTACCATAGAGCGGCATTGGGGTTACCCCCGCTTATTCTAAGACATCTGGCCAAATGCCCTCCACAGCTGTCTCTCTCGCGGAAGCCGTTTCCGCCAGCAGTGGCAAGAGCAAGAAAGTGCAGCGCCACACCTTTGCCTTTGTACTTATTGCATTGGCACTGGATAAAGTGTTCATTTTAGAATATAGTACGTGATAATAGTAATAACACGTACACAAGTTGCACCGTCTTGAAGCGGAAATACTTGTTGCTTTGGATTGGGGTTCTTAAGACTTCATTCTATGTCATTGTGGGAAGTCATGATTCTCTAACGTAAGGGAGATACCGAAGGGATCGAGGGGTTATTTGGCCAGAACCTATTTAGGCAAGTGGAATCGAGTGTGTCTGGCAATGGTGGTGCCAGCCTATTGGGGCCCGAAACAGAAATTACTTTTGGGTGTATTTTGTGACTGAAAAACATTGCGACAGAAAAACCTACGTAACTTAAATATACTATATCACAGTTCTGTGGAATAAATCGCGTTATAATACTCTGTTTGATTAACATTATTTGAATAATATTAAAATTTAGAATGATGAGCTGTATATAGTTTGGATCTAATTTTTGAGCTGATATTTAGTGC